TATATGCATATATATATATGCATATATATATATATATATGCATATATATATATGCATATATATATATATATATATGCACATAAATGTATGTTTATATATATATATATATATGTTATATTCGTTATATATACGCATCCATACACATATACGTAAAATAATGCTTACCTATCGCGTCAAATAATTTAAAACTAATAAAACATAAATATAAATAAATATAAACATAAACAAATATAAACAAACATTCTATATTAAGTCATTTAAGATCTGCTGAATATAAAAAACAAATAAATAAATAATAAATAAATGAATAATAAATAATAAATAAATTAATAATTATATATATATACATATACAAACATACATGTCTAGTTAGATCATTGAAGATCGGCTGAATATAAAAAGCAAATAAATAATAAATAAATAAATAATAAACAAATAAATAAATAATAAACAAATAAATAAATAACTAATAAATAATAAACAAATATCTATATATATATATATATATATAGATATACAAGCATACTTGTCTAGTTAAGTCGTTTAAGATCTGCTGAATATTTTGTTTAGGGCAGCCGGCTTTGGGTTTGCCGCCCATCGAATTTAATCCGCAGAACTCCACTAATAAAACTGCGTCGACGCCGTAACTTTCGTAGAAATCGCCGACCTATAGATTAACAAAACAATAGTAATTAATTAGTTAATTAATTAATTAATTAATTAATTAATATAAATAAACGTGTAAATGCATAATATATATATATATATATACATATATATATATATATATAATTGCGTCGACGCCGTAACTTTCGTAGAAATCGCCGACCTATAGATTAACAAAATAACATTAACTAACTATTTAATTAGTTAGTTAGTTAGTTAGTTAATTAGTTAATTAATTAATTAATTAATTAATAAATATAAATAGATAAGTGCATAAATGCACAATGCATATAGACATATACGTATTACATGCAAATATATAGAGAAATAAAAACATAAATAAACAAATAAATAAATAAACATGTTAATAAACTGACAGACAAACAAAAAGATAATGAACGAATGAAAAGATCAACAAGCAAATAACAAATGAATAAATAAACAAAACAAACAAACAAACATATATATGTATTATATGCATATATATATATATATATGCATATACATATGCACATATATATATATATATATATATCAACATATATATACACACATATATAGGTAAACATATATACATGAGTATATATATATATATATATATATAGTTACTTGAGTAAGGAGTATTCGATCAGGGTGAAGGGCTTTCTGCGCTGCAACAAACTGCAGCAAAGGAGTTTGTTTGAAGTCTTTGAGCATTAAAATATTATCAAAAGATAAATCTAATAACAGCCGCCGAGACATAGGTCGCTCTAGGCGAGCTAAACGAGACAAAAGTACAGAAGATAGCGGTACCCTGCTGCTGCTGCTGCTGGTGCTGCTGCTGGTGCTGTCGGTGCTGCTGCTGCCGATGCTGCTGCTGCTGTCTATAGCGCTGCTGATGCTCTCTATGTTGCTGATGCCGCTTTCAATGCTGCTGCTGCTGACGATGCTGCTGCTGCACTTAATGCTGCTGCTGCTGCTGCGGCGGCGAGAACGGGAAGTGATAGCGAAGGGCCGGCGCTGCAGCAACAATCCCTGCTGTTGCTGCTGCTGCTGCTGCTGCCGCAAGTTGAATGGAATTCTGATGCGTTTGCTGCAGAGATGAGATTGAAAGCAAAGAAAAGGAGAATGCAGAAAGGGTATAGAGGGGGGCCCCCCCCCACCCTCACAAGGGGGCCCCTTGGGGGATAATCTAAGAGGCCCCCTGGGGGCCCCCTTGGGGGGCCCCCAGCTATTGCTGGGGTTTCTTATGAAGATTGCCTTTGTTGCTAGGCACATAGCAGCAGCAGCAAGCAGCAGCAGCAGCAGCAGCAGAAACAGCAAAAGGGGGGGGCCCTTAAGCCTAGCCCTTGGCAGGAGCTTCTTAGGGCTCCCAACCCTGCAGCAGCAGCAGCCGCAGCAGCACATTCGGCTGAGGCCCCCTGGGGGCCCCTGAAGGTTAGTTGTCCTTACAGAAGGCTTGGGGGGCCCCTGCAGCAAAGTGTGTGAGGGAGTGTTCTATACATTTACATTTAATTCTCTCCTTCTTCCTCGTTAATAAGCAAACATACCCTAAAAATATTCAATATAAACCCCTTTTATAATATTGCTGGAGGCTGCTGAAGGAAGGCCCCTCAGAAGAAGATCAGGGGCCCCCCGATGGGGGGCCCCCTGGCCTTAGCAGGGGCCCCCCTGGCCTTAGCAGGGGCCCCCCTTTAGGGTTGTTGGGGTTGGAGGTGTGTTTGAATACTTTGTTTTCTTCTTTTTATTGTTTAAAATGAATTAAATAATTTAAAATTTAGTTGTTTTTCTTAAAATTTTGAACCGCAAATCCGTTCAGCAGCAGGGGGCCCCCCCTTGTGTTTGGGGTGTCTACGCAACTTGTTCGGAGCGGGTGTCTCGGGTGTATGAAGAGTAAATTAAATACAATTAATTAAATTGTCTTATTTTTACTCTATTTTATTCCCTTTTTTCAAATAAGAGGCTGCAGGGCCGGCTCTATCACTCCCCCCTTCTGCCGCGCCTCTCTAATAGCTACTGCCTCCTAGGCAATAAATTCCTCCTGGGGGCCCCTTTATCAATGCAAGGGGGGCCCCCTAAGGGGCCCCTTTACCAATGATAGGGGCTCCCCAAAAGGGGCCCCCCAAGGGGCCCCTAGAAGGGGTTCAAAAGGGGCCCCCTAAGGGGGCCCCCAGGGAGGCAGTGGGGAGCCCTAAGCGCAGGACTTGTTTTTCTCCGTCTCTCCAAGCTCTGCTGAGGCAGCAGCAGCTGCAGCAACAACGACAGCTGCAGCTGCAGCATCTGCTGCTGCTGCTGCTGCTGGCGTGTGCATGTTTAACTCCTAAAGAGGTAGAAGGCAGTGTAGTGGTAGCTGCTGCAGGTCGGGGGCCCCCCTTGCAGCTGTCTTTTATTTCTATGGGCCTGTTAGCCGAAACAAAACTGAAAAAAGAAAAGAAGAGTTCTTTTTTACTCCCCTCGAACGGCAGCACGCAACTCTACTATTACCAACAGCAGCAGCAGCAGCAGCAGCAACAACAACAACAGCAGCAGCAGCTGCTTGTTGAGGGCGAAGACGCAGGGTATCTTCGCATTGGAGCTCCAACAACGGAGACAAAGACAAAACAAATTGCAGAAAGACAGAGAGACTTCTCTTGGGGAACGCGCAAGGAGTCCGTCGCCTGCTGCTGCTGCTGTTGCTGCTGTTGCTGCTGCTGCTGTTGCTGCTGTTGCTGCTGCTGCTGCTGCTACTGTTGAAATTCCGCTTGCTGCTGTTGT